TGCGATCAGGTCAGAAGACCACCAGTCCCCGAGCTCTTCTGTTGGACCCACCCATGGACGCAGTAGTAGTAGCGCATGTCCTGTAGTAGACAACTACTGCTGAAAATATTGGAGACCACGATATGAATCATACCGACAGGTGGGTCGTGGGTGGGCGGGGGACCCTAAGAAACAGTCAGACTCAGCCAGTTTATATCCTCATAGTTTCTTGCAAGCAATAACGAAGGGCGATCACAAAAGAGAGACCGCCAGCGACAGGAAACAAAGAAGAAGTAGAGGAGAGCAGAGCTAAGAAACAAGTGAAGAAACAAGACCCCCTTGCCGCTCTGACCCACTGGAAGCTTTCCATGTACCGCAGCAAACAGCAGGGGCAGCACCCACTACCTCACATGCAGTAGCCGGATACATGCACGGACTGGTACGTAGTAGAAGTTTAGTCTCTTTCTCCGGCAAGAACAATAACGCCCGGGCGAACTTGAACGTGGAGTCACAAGAAATACCGTCATGATGACGTCATCCATTCTGCTTGCCATGGGAGATGCGCATCGTTACGCGAGGAAGGCGTTAACTCTTCGCATAGAATATGCTGCCGTAGACCCTATATCCTTCAAGCTCAACTACAGCTACACCCGATACATGGTAGCATCATATCCAGCTGTAGAAGAATCGAAAAAAAAACTGTTTTCTTGGTGGCGAAGCGGACCCTCTTGATTGTGACTCTCCAACTGCTGTTCGTGGATGGCGACGACATGGCGACACAGACAGACCAAATCTAGGGTTTGACGTCGGTCTTATCCGCCGCTGGAGGTGGAAGCTATACTCAAAGTCGGGGAGGGGTCGTGATTTGCAATTCCCTACGGAACCGTACTTGAGGCGCCGTGAGGTTTGTACTGCCGTAGCCGAGGTTATTTGTCGGCAGGGAAACATAAAAACAAAATCTTCGGCGGACCGGACCCTCTTTTTTTCAACTGGCCAACTGTTGTTTGGATGGCGAGACAATTTCCGGTCTTCTTATCCGTCACAGGAGGCCGAAGCTGATGCTCAACTCGGGGAGGGGTCATGGTTTGCGAGTCCCTACCGAACCATAATCGCTCGGGGCACCACGTCACGGACATGACAAGAAAAACATCCCCCCAACGAAAACTGCTGAAATTCATGGAGTGGTGGGTGAGTGGGGGACCCCAAAACAATGAAAGAGTCGCGGTTCGCGTTGTTCTGCGGCTCTACCGGCGAAAAACACCGTCGACGGTCTGAACCGCTAGAAGCTGTCACGCAGCACTGCATGTGCGGCGAACTGTGGGGGCCGTGCGCATTTCTTGACGGAAAGAGGCGGCTCCCATTGCCTCACATGCAGCAGCCGGGTACACGGGTAGCCTCTCCTACTCAGGAAGACGCAAAACGATTGCCGTTGACGTTCGATGTTATTGGGGACCCTAACGGCGAAAATGCAACAGAGAGAGAGAGGCAGACCAAAGGAAGAGAGACTGGAGAAGACAAGGCATGAACTCTAGAGAAGACACTCACTCTCATCCCCACCGCAGGCTTGAACACGTGTAACGAACGGCGACATCCGATGTGCGCTCGGCAACAACAAACACGACAAAAGAATAATAGTCGTCGTTTCCGAACTGCTGTGGAGATACTGTAAGTTGGTGGAGACTTTCTTTCTTTTCTGGTATGAAGTGGCAACAAAGAAGAACACGACTATCTGTCTGTGTAGACTAGAAGCACGACGGACGAACTATTATCTCAATGCGCTTGCCGTCGCGATAGATGCGCACCGCTACCGCTATACGAACGAGCAGACTGTTGTCAAACCTGACTACGATAACCGTACGACCATTGCAGCACATTCCGACCATAACAGCAGAAACCGCAGCAGCAGCCGCATGTGTACAATGGTCACTCAAGAACAAACGCAAAAACAAACGAAATGTGGCGCGCAGCACGCAGGACCCTTTTTCGCTGTTCAACCGGCCGTTTCCATGGCGAAACGGGCACGGAACAGTCAAGGCCGACTCTTGCCGGCCACAGGAGGCGGAAGCCGCTCAAACTCGGGGACCGCTCATGACTTGCGATTCCACACCGAACCATACTCAAGGCACCACGAGATTTGCAGTGTAGCTCGAGATCAGCATTTGAGATCGGGTCGGGCAGGGGTGGGGCATGCGAATGAAACTTCCACGGATATTGAACGATGAGACTGAAGCTAAAGCTTCAAAATTCCCCAAGCCTTGGACGTGTCGGTGGGCATGGTACAATAGGATGTGGCGGTGTGTTGACAAGTGGAATGGACGGGGTGCGAGTAAAAAGTCCGGGGCCCATTCATGAACATGGCAAGTAAACACCCCTCCCAACAAAAATTAATGGTGGGCGGGTGGCTGGGGGGCCCCAACAAACAAAGCATGAAAAAAGAAAAAAAAAATCAAAGACAAGTGAGCCAGGCGCGACAGGCTTGAGGGAGGAGGTAAAATAATATAGAAAACCCACCGTGGTCGTCGCTCGCTCTGGCCCGCTGGAACATGTCACATAGCACTGCATGTCCAGCATTAGACCAAGTCCATTGCTTGACATAAAACAGGTAGCGCACATCGCCTCTCATGCAGCAGCCCCGTGCACGGGCAGTCTCTTACTCAGCAAGATGCGGAACCACTGCGGTTGACGTAGTTCGATATTGTTGGGACCCCACCGGCGAAAGGCGAATGAGAGACAGGTAGACTGAAAGAAGAGAGCGGAGAGAAGACAAGGCATTCACTCTCGAGAAGACACTCACTCACTCTCGTCCCTTTGGCCCACCGCAGGCTGTCGGACATCTGTACCGAACGGCGGTATCCGAAGCGGGCTCAGCAACAACAAACACAAAAACCACAAGTCGCCGAGTTGGAACTAGACTAGAGTAGTGCGGACTTTCATCCTTCTGTGACGAAGTGAGAACAAAAAAACATGACTACACGGACGAGTTAGTCCGTCCGCGATAGATGTGCACCGTTGCACAGAGCAGCAGACTGTTGGTTGTCATTCCTCACTTTCTGTTGTAAATAAGATTGTGCTGCCATCTACCTTATCGCTCAAGTTGCGACTGACTACGCAGCAGACTCAAAAAGCATCAACACCCTTATTCGATGTATGCCACCCATGCATACGCCGCTTAGACTAATACGATGCATACCACCCATGCATATGCAGCAAGAGAGAAAAAAGGCTTGTTGTTGTCTGTCTCAACTGTTGTGCTGCTGTTGCTTTTCATGTATAACGACACAACAGGCGACAAAGTAAGCTACGCGCATCGCCTACTACGCGACGCGTGCACCCCTAAGCGACAGACACGATAGCCTTCAACCTTGTCTGAAGCAATTCAGCAACAGCAGCATGGTCACTCAGGAAGAAAAAAAAGAAAAGATTTTGGCGCGCAGCACGCAGGACCCTCTTTCGCTGTTCAACCGGCCGTTTCCATGGCGAAACAGACAAGGAACAGTCAAGGCCGAGTCGTGTCGGCCACAGGAAGTGGAAGCTGCTGAAACTCGGGGAGGGGTCATGGTTTGCGATTGCCTACCGAACCATACTTGGGGCATCGCCTACTACGCGACGCGTGCACCCCAAAGCGACAGACACGATAGCCTTCAACCTTGTCTGAAGCTATTCAGCAACAGCAGCATGGTCACTCAGGAAAAAAAAAAAAAGATTTTGGCGCGCAGCACGCAGGACCCTCTTTCACTGTTCAACCGGCCGTTTCCATGGCGAAACAGACAAGGAACAGTCAAGGCCGAGTCGTGTCGGCCACAGGAAGTGGAAGCTGCTGAAACTCGGGGAGGGGTCATGGTTTGCGATTGCCTACCGAACCATACTTGGGGCGCCACGACATTTGCACTGTAGCTCGAGATCAGCATTTGAGACCGGGTCGGGCAAGGGGTGGGGCATGCGAATAAAAGTTCCACCCACCCACGGATATTGAAATATGAGACTGAAGCTAAAGCTTCAGAATATCGTGTATGTCACCTACGGATAGACTACATACAAAGAGGACACATGTCGTTTTCTCGTTCTTCTGTGCCGAAAGGTGTAAAAACTGACGCCCCAGATAAGCCCTTGCATAAACAAATGGGACGAGATACGCACACACCAACTATCGCCAGCCGACGTTCGGTTTCACTTTTCTCCTCCCTTTGCTGTGCACACAGGAGAGCATAGAAGAGATCGAGGAGGAAAATAGCCATTCAGACTACAGCCTAGAGTTTGACGACGATTATGAAGGGTCAAGACATCCAAGAGGAGCCGAACAACACCAACGAGGAGCTTCCAATGGCCAGCAAAATTCGCCGTCTGCCGTGTGGTCAGCAACTGGGGTTGGATCGGAAAGGCAGGGGGGCCACCAACACCAACAACGAGAACGCTTGCAACAAGAGGGACGGGACCAAGAACGGACGACACGAAGCCACGTGCTCGCCGATGACACTACCACCATCATCGCGGACCGCAACAACTCAGGCGGGCTACAAGTTCCTCCGAAAAGGTAGTTGTTGGCCTGGCCTTTTAATGCGAAGAAGAAGGACGACATGTATGTATGCATATGTGTGCGCTATGTCGTCCTCCCTTGATGAAAGTCTTGGTTGCGCCGCAGAGCTCGTTGGTTCACATTAGAGTGTACCGGAAAGTACAGCTTTCCAATTGGATCGTGATTTGACGGAGTTCGAAAATGAGCGAAGGGAGCACCCAGCAGTCACACACAAGACGCGTAAGACGAGTCGGGAAGTGTTGGGCAACAAGAATTCCGGTAGTTGACACACAGAGCTTAGAGTCCATACCATTCACGATATGTTGCTGTATACATACCCGCCGTCACAGCTCCAACTGGGGTTGGAGCCCTTGTGATTTACTACTGATTTTGCAGTCCGCTTTCTAGAAATGAACCATTGTTCCAGAGTTCGCCGACCAACCCCCACCACGGCCGCAGGTCGACAGGACGCCAAGCACACGATAACGAGACGCATCAGCAGAACTACATGATCACAACACAGACGAGGAACGAGCCCTACTCCTCAACGGCGGCAGAATTAGGAACCATGGAGACAAAGGAGCTACTACGTGAAGAACGAGGGGATCGAGGACCCTCCTTGCCCGTGCAGGTATCTCCCGTCGAAAGGGTTCTTGTCTCGAGCCGCAAACATCATCATGTCTCGTTCACGGCCCGTACAGCCGTACATCTAAAAATCATGTACTTGTTGGAAGAAAACCCCTGCATGCGGCCGCATCCGGTGGTGGGTCTGTTAGAATTTTACTACTCTCGAGGTCAACGTTTCCCTGTTGCACTCAACCAATGCTCAACAGGACAGTTGATTGGTTTTCTTCATGCTTGTCGGACGTCCACATTCTGGAACAATACTTGCATTTGCGAGGAAGATTGTGTCCAACTGCTCTTCTAATGACATCAGAACTTTCCCGTTTTGTTCATAACAGCCTTGCACGGTGTTCTTCCCCCTGGACTCGACGAAGTTTAGGTCCTCACACTCAAAGCTCGACTGGACGGGCTGCTGCGGGCCGGACACGACGGCGTTGATAGCGGCCACCACCTCACGGTCACCGAGGCTTTAACGTCGGTGACAAGAGAACACGCTGCTCTGCGGGAGTGCTTGGGCGACGTTGAGCGGGTGAGCGAACGAGGCGCCTTTGAGTCTCTCCGCGGCACGAAAAAAGGAGACTCGCCGATAAACACGTTGTGTGCAAACTGTTGTCATGAGAAAGTCTACCACTGCCCTCTTGCCCCGCCCTCCTGCTTTTTTCCTGCCATGTCTCCGGCCTTTCTTCGCGCACAGGAGCTGTTGACAGCGAGGCGGAAGGTTGAGCAGGATGCGGCCTCGAGGCTACAGGCAGCGCAACAGAAGAGGGCGCGGGCGGAAGCGCGGAGGGTCAGACACTTCGAGCAGTTGGGCGAGGCGAGGAAGACCGCGGTGGTAGCCAAGACGGAGGCTGAGGTACAGGAAAGCCACTAAGCACGCCGAGGGCACGCGTGCAAGAACAACAGCAGTGTGCCAAAAATCCGTCGCATATGGTCAATGACAAGACTCTTCTTTGGCGATCAAGAAAAAAGTGCCAGCTCCCGTGTCTGTCACCAGCATTTTTGTCGTCTGCCCCTCGAAAAACATCAGTTTTGTGCACTTACGCCTTCCCCACCCTTTCCGAACAAAAACCAGGCGTTGCGCGCCAGGGTAGCGGACGGAGCGACGGAGCTTCGACACGCGAGAGACATGCTGGAAACCGCACGATCCGCGGCTTCAGCGGCGCAGGACCGGGCCGACCAGTGCCAGAAGGAAGCGACCGTGGCTGAGGTGGGGGGTGCCGAAAGGGTTGATGCGGAGGGAAATGCGAGAATGATGATTGGCCTTTGTAACTTCAGTCAGAGCTGAGACCTAAGAGTAGCGCCGAGATACATAGGCGTTGAGTCGCTGATTTGCTCACATGCTCGTTGAACATGGAGTCCAGGAAGCGAAGTTTTGGAGGCGCTCGACGACGAAAACAACGATACTCCGGCAATTGAAGGAATTTTTCTCGGGCTGGGTCGAATTTCGATTTTGTAAGCTCGACATGAGTATCTCCACAGCAGACACGCGCTAACATCGAAAACGGTAGTGACGCTGGGAAGATCTTGGTGGAGAGTAGCATTGGACACGTCTGACGATACTGGAGGAACGACTTGTAGTGTCGAGATACCGAGACTCGAACACACACCAAGGGTGTACGGTACCTTTAGCAAACATGCGGCAAGGTGTAGTGCGAAGTATATCGCGCGAAGATACCGAGGCCCGTCCCAAACATGCTTTCGTCGGAATTCTTGACATTGATTGTATGTTGGAGGGAAAGGATGAATGTGTGTGGACAACGGTGTGAATCGGGTTTCCTGTGTGTCTCCCACCGCAACAAGGATAAAGCGGAGAGCCTTCGGGAAGAGATGGCGCACGTGCGCGTGGAGATTGAGGAGGAGAGGAGGAAAGCTTCTGTCGCGGTTAGAGATGCGGCGGAGAAGGTGGAGGTGGGACACGGGCCTGTTGGTGCGGTGTTTTGGTTGTTTTATTATCGTGTGTGTGTCTGTCTTGTTTGTGTCCGTACTCTCTTTCAGGGCCTCGCGATTGATACGTATCTCAGGCGGGGTTTTGTAGCAAGCTCTCGCACACCCATGGTTCTCGGCGGCTCTGCAAGTCTGCGTTGCTTCGCTCGTTGTCCTTCCGGTTGCCTCTTGATGGTGCCAAGCTTTGCGAGAGAAAGCGAGAGCTCGAAGTGGATGCCGCTACTCGAGCGGCAGAGGCGCGGGAAAGGGCAGCGGAGGAGCAGCTCAAGCGCCTCCCCGAACACCAGCAACAGCTGCTCCAGGTTGGTGTTGCCTATTATCGCGCTCGCGCGGGATGATCATAGACGTCGAACCGTGGCCAGTCGACGTGTTCGTCGACCTAAGGCGGTGTGTTCTCTGGGACTCTTTTCCGACCACGGTATCGTGTCCATCACGAAGGCCGTTCGGAGGCGATCAGACTAACAGCGAGGAGACCACGCGTGGCGGAGGCGCCGTTGTGTAGAATACTGGCTCGCCAACTTCTGTGTGCCATGCACCCGTCAGGCGGGTCATGTTTTTCAGTTCAGTTCTCTCGACAACGTCGATCGCGCACCGCACCGGTGTGACCATGATCGTGTAGGGCTGCTCGACCGCGGTCCTTTAGCTGCCAATAGTTCGTGTTGCCATCAATGGCACTCCGTATCATGTCAAATCGTGGATTTCGACCCCAGGCAGAAAAGGACCGCGTAGTGAGATGGGAGGAGCGCCTGGCAGCCGAAGCCGCGAGTCTTCAGCGCAGGGAGGAAGCACACAAGGTGGATTGCCTACTCTTACTGTGCTTTGCGTATAGAATGTATATTTGACTGTCAACTTGTAGGGGCCAACTAATCGCTTGGAGGGTAACACGAAAGTGTGGAGCCCTTTTTGTTGTTCTTGGATTGATATTCAGGAGGTACTGCTTCCTTCCGCCATCTCATCTTTGCCGTATCGCTTTTGTTGCGAAGGTGGTGCTCTGTTCACTTCCGTGTACCCTTTTTAGTTGTGGACGAGACAACTCAAAGATCCTATCGATGCTTGATAGTAGTTTCTTCTCCCCCACCGCGTCCCACCTCCCCGTGCCTGTTTGGTTTGTCGAACACCCCAACGCACTCCGTCTGGAACTGCATCCATCGGTATAACGATGCATGACATGCATGGTAATGCGCTTCGGCTGCGCACGAAATATGTTAACCCCTACCCCGCGTCTACCGGTGCCAAAAAACCGTCCCTTCGATCCAGATTGATATGGAAGCGTGTCGAGCGCAGGTGCGCAGGATGGAGGCGGAAACCCGGGCCCGTGTTGAAGAGGATGCCTCGAGGGAGCGATCGACTCTGACCAACGCCAGGTCGGCGTTCGAGAGGGAGAGGGGGGAGCTCTTGCGGCGTGTCGCGGCAGCCGAATCGGCCGGTCAGGCAGCGATAGCGGAGGTTAGTGTGTGTCCGTTCTCCGATGTTGTGCGTGTGATCGTTAAGGCACACCATTTGAATTAAAGCAATAGACTTGGGCTAGGGCACGTGGGGATACGTGTAAGTCGATCGTGTTGTAGCATGTGTCGAGCATATTCGTCACAATGGTGAAGGGAGGTTTGACTAGTTGGCGTTAACCACAAATTCGACTTTAACACGCTTCCAACAGCCCGAGGCCCCTTTTTGTTTGGAGGTTGACCGTGTATAGAGCGGACTTATCTTTTTATGAGATAAGTTACGAGGAAGGTCGTACTGTTCGACGTTTCTCTATCCCTAGGGGTTAGAAACAGGGCCCGGCCTCGCGGACAAGTAGCCACAAGCACAGGATGCCGTTCTCGATACCGTTGCAATCGTCGACATTGAGACCGAGACACAAAAACTGAAACCTCAGCGAGCGGAATCCGGCCGATGGGGTACACCAAGCACGCGGCGACTAGAGGCGTTCCATGGGGTCATTTGTACTCCTAGTGTCGCCGGTAACGATAAAAGTAGCTGACCGAAAACATGGCCCTGAAAACGACTGCGTATGTAGCCTGACGCCGAAACTAGTGTGTATAAGCCTCTAAGCAGCAGACTCGATCAGGCCGAAACAAACGGAAGGCAGATGAAGGATGTGTTCAAAGATGGGTGGATTAAAGCCGCAGAAATACACAAAAGAAGCGGTTCGAAAATTCGATGCGTGAATGCCTCCGAATCTTGGATTTTAGGCGGCGTCGCAGACGGCAGAGGCGAACGAGGAGCGTCGGAGAGTCGAGGCCGAGAGGAACGCTCTAGCGTTGAGGGCCTCGATGCTCGCGCCGCAGCTTGCTGCCCTGGAAGAAGGGCGAGCGACGCTAGAAGGGTTTCAACGAGAAGGCGTGTGCTTTTGCTTACCCTGCCCTTTCCACGTGCTCGGCCACGACCACCTGTGGTATTCTCCGGCACGCTACTTGTCTCACTTCTTGGATTTCTGAGAACGTTCTAACATGAAAACTTAGAAAACTCAATCAGTTGCTACTTATTACGTGAGACTTGCGGGATCGGGGGGTTCGTTTGCAGAAAACGTACGTGGTGTCAACAACTAGTTGTTGGGGGGGGTCCGCGGACAGGTTGTCCTTCAGAGTTTCCCGGTGTCCGGGTAGTAACCCTTGTCCCTTCAAGAGCGGTACACGCTCTGGCGCTTTGGGCCGCAACTTCAAGAAGAACCTCGATAACCGAATAGAAAGATGTCCACAGGATTCATGGTGATTCTGTGTGTTCCCTTTACGTACCCCTTCTCCACCCCACCTCCCGAATCTTTGTGGATATTGTCTTCAAGCTGATGAGCACTTCTCCGTGGGCCCAAGATACAGCCAATCGCGCCCCAGAGGCTAGCGAGCTAATTTACAGAGGTTGGGTCGCCGCTTTGTCTCCTCTCTTCTTCCTGCCTGACAAAACCCCTTGGTTTGTTCGTGCGTGCGTTGGGTGTTTGCCGGCGTTTGCCCCTTCTGTGTTTGTGATTCTGTGTCTCCGAAGCGAGGGAAGAATCTCGTCGTGCGAAGGAGAAGGTCTGTCGCGCTCTGGAGATGGAAGCGGAGGTTGTAGGTAGAGAAGCGGCGGTGGAAGTGAAGTGGAAGGAGATCACCACAGCCCGCCGAGCGTTCAAGCAGGTCAAGTGGAAAAAACAACGTTGATGTACAGCCCCAGTCTTGGTCTACTCTCTCATTCTTGGTTGGAGGCTGTCCAATCAAACTTACCCTCGCCCTTCACTACACGTATTGATACTATGAACCACACGAAAGAAGGACCGAATCCCCAGACCTGGTTTCAAGCCTCAAAACCCCCTTGATCATTGTGGAACGCTGCCCGGGGCGGCGGCACTCGCCTTGTCCCCGCATTGGAGGGGAGGATTTGTAAATCAAATCATTGGTCTGATGACAACGTGTTGCAATGTCACTTGCACAACAAGCGCCGACTGTGCGGGCGAACGCAAGGGTAGATTTATCTATGGTCTTGGTGAACGGCACAACCCCGGCGAACGCGTGAAATTGACTCCCGTTCCCTCTCGGCCTGGCATCACCGCGTGCACTGCGACGGCTTAGATGGAGAAAGGCGTCGTTGACGAGGCAGAAGGGTTGGCCGAACAGCGGAAGGCGCTAGTGCTGGCAAGAGTGCGCTTGCACGAGCATCAGATGGAAATGGTGTTGCAGGTGAGCCAAGTCAGCAGTCGTCGTTGTCTTGTCACCGCCATCGTCGTCGTCCTACAGTACTTCCCCTCGTCCTAGCGTGTGTTGTGTTGTTCATGCTCTTGTTGTGAACCTCGGGAGTTCGTACGAAATATGTTGAAAATGCCAAAGCCCATCGCGCTGAGTAGGGTGCAGGACAGCACGACAGCTTGCGTGGACCCACGAATGAGACGTGCAGTAATAAATGTTCACCTCTGGTGTGATGTAAGATGGAGTAAAGGGTGAACCTGAACATCATGTGTACCTATCGAGACCGTATCGTGTGGGTTCGCCGAAAGTGCGCCTTCGTGAGTAACAGTAGGCGGGGGAGGTTCTGGGCGGCGGTCTGACCAGGCATCAACCGCCAGTCCTTATTTAGCGCGGAGGCCGATGTAACGCCACCAAGGGGTGCCGCCATGGAGCAGAAACCACGAACAAGTTCGAAAATCGCTTTCATTGCGAGGCGGCGATCTACGTTTTGTGTGTGTTCCCTGCCATGCCCATCTTTGTCCATGATGCGTCCGCCCATATCCTGCGTCTCACGCCTTGTTCCCCTCTCTCGCGACGGCCTCTGCTGCTGCCCCCGCTGCTTCCAACACGGTACACATCTTCACCTACCTACGGTACACATCTTCACCTACCTACGTGCTCATGGAATTCTGGTGCTTTTCGGACCAGATGTCCGAGATCCGGAAGGCACTGGAGGTAATGAAGCGGGTCGACAGCATCGAGGACGCGCCCGCCAGACGCCTGGCTCTCGAGCTGGGGACGCTGGCGTGCGACCGGGGGCAGAGTGCGGCGCGTCGGGCCGAAAACTCCGGGGATTTTCTCGCCGCTGATGGTGGTGATGTCGGGACGCTCGCACGACGAGAGCGTGCGGTATATGGTAGCAGCGATGGCAGGGGGATTCAAATTACGGCCGCCTCGTGCGAGGGAAGAGGTGGTCAAGGAGTGGAGGTTAGGGATCGATCCCACCAGCTGTTTCTGACACCGTGCGAAGAGACAGGTAAATAGTCTGCACGAAAGTGTTTGCCGGTGTTCCCTTTCGGGCATTATATCTTCAGTCCCAATTATTAAGTCGTCTTCCTCAATCACTGCGATAGCCTGTGTCAAGGCAGTTCTTGTTTTCAACATGTGCTACAGGTTGTTGGGTTCCGAAGGTTTACACCTAGGGGTGGCAAAATGAATGCGCTTTTGGTGGTCGGTCGCCCTCGTACATCGAGAAAAAGGGACATTTTAAGATGTTCCGTTTGGTGCCGTACTACTGTCACCCATGCTACAGCCATCATGTGGCCCCTGATTGCCCGCGTGTACATCGACGAATGCGTCGTCAAACCCACATCCGGCTTCCTCGCACGTATCAGCTGGCACGACTACAGCTGCTGCTGCTGCTGCTGCTGCTGCTTCTACGGCCGGATGTCGAGGGAGGGGGGCAACCGATGTGATGCGGATGGGGGCCGGCGCGTATGCCGACGAGGCGGGCGCGAGGGAAGCGCTGGACAAGGTATATATGCACAAGAAGATGAAGATATCGACATTCTGTTTAACTGTACATGTTATGTTCACTACCGGACCGGGACTGTATTCGAGTCAGGTTGCAAAACAGACAAGAACGACGGTATCGCTGCAGGGGGCACTTGCAGACTCCAAATGGTCCAATCAACAAACAACCCGGGTGAGAAACTGCGACAACGAGGATCTGCCCGACAACGACCACTTGCCTAGGCGGTACAAATGGCACTTGCCTAGTGTAGGAGAGGAGATTTCTCTCACCTGCGGTATTAACTGTGCTGTTGATACTCTCGCTTTGGTGCTCTGGCGGTTAGGTGCGCTCCATGATAGCCTCGGGAGGAAAAGGGTGGGAAGTGGCATCGGGATCGGGTAGCGGCGGCGGCGGGGCCGATGAAGGAGGCGGCAGCTGGGAGGGACTATCGGTTCACGGATGGGCACAGCGGCTGCAGGCGGCCGCGATCGCCACTGGAGCATATCGGCTGCACAATTAAGAAGGCGATCGGCTGCATGAATTAAGGTTTTTGTGTACCGTGCTCCGTCGAGTCTCCCTTGGGGACGGAGCAACAAATACTCATACGACTGGTTCTCCACGTTGATTGGGCGATCTATTATAGTATGGCGTGTGAAGCCCATTTCAACAAAGAAAGGATGTTGATGAGATAAACGAATGTGGCGCAATGCCGATCTACCAAACACCTCTCACAATTCGCCGACACGCACACAGACTGCACACTGATCTTACGAGCTTCATTCAGAAGGTACGATAGACGAGTGAGTGTGGTTGGGCGAACAGGGCCAAAGGGTAGAATGAAGACGTACAAATGTACGACCATCAACTCACTCACGGCACTGAGAAAAAAACACACACACACACATGTCAGCACGGGTGATGCCCCCCCATGTTGACAAGAGAGGCCTCCTGAATCCCGAAACCGTAGTACTTGTACGAAGGTGTTCATCTAACGCGAAGAGTTTCAACCGCTGTCTCGGGCCAAAACGCGGGGATGCAGCTCAGAGCCGAGTGAGTGCTGTGACAACCGCATCTGCGCAGCAAGCTTACGGAGGACTAGCGTGTGGCGTTCTTCAGGAGGATCGCAATAGTGCGTTTTAGCACGTCGGCGACCTGCAGGCCGACCGGACAGCCATGCCGTCAGAGGGCAGCCCGCTTCACGTCTTGTCTCAGAAACTATATATTTCACGAAGACAAGGGGGGAAATCAGTTGCTCTGGGTGTTCCGCAATTCCCCATGAAGATCCGTATGTCGTGGACGAAAATAACCCTTTTTTCTTTTTCTCTCCCTTCACACCCCGCCCCATGCCCCGCCATGCCACGCCACCTCCTCTCAGTCCCTAGAAAACACAAAACACTTAAAAGTAGTACCTGATAACCTGTCCCAACTACCACAAATTAAGCTTACTGCCAATGTGCCGAAACCAGCTCGACAAACTGCTGCGTACCGTCCGTCTGTGTGCCAATACAGCGCCGCACTTGTATGCCCTACCTACATACATGCGCGTGTTTTCCCCTTGACTCTGCTCTTCTCTAGATGAAGCCCCCGATAACTCCACACCAACAACACAGTAATAACCCCCGTTCTCTTCCCTCCCTCCCCACCCGATTCATCGAAGCACAAGCAGATACCCCCCTCCTCGTTCCTGCCCCCGTCTGTCCAAGTGAAGATGAGCTTGCACCTATTATCCCGTTCCAGGGCATAAGAGGCGGAACTCGGTGTACCACTTCCGTAGTCTTTTTTTTTTGCGAGCCTATTTATAAAGGATTTGGCAGACGAATTTCAAGTCTATTTCGGGCTGACACAGGGGAAAATGGGAAAAACGCAACAGCAATGGAAAGACAGACTCGAATGCACTGCAAGGAAAACTTCACAACGCTTGCATCCGGCATGTAGTCTCTCGATTCCAACCACGACGAGAGCGGCGAACACGTTCGTACGTTTTTTATCAGAAAACGAAAAACGGCTGGCAGCGGTCTTGCCACAAAGCCTCGCGATACTCCCAATTGTTGTCTTTGACACTAAAACTACTAGTACCGTTCCGAAAGAACATGCCCGGCACATCCTTCGGGTGTTGGCCTGAAAGCATCGACTCAAACCACACAACCGTCCAGCACACTACACGCAACACCAAGTGGACTAAATTCCCAGGCAAGGCCGCGTACCTAACGAATTTGCAATCCAGAGTATCGAGCCCTGTAAACTAGCAAACGAACGACGAGGAGCATTTCTCGAAATTCTCGATCTAGATATTGTACGTATAAATATGAAGGACTCACATCTTTGATGCCAGCACCATTTGATTGCGCTGTGCCTCCCGAACAAAACGTCCCTCCACTGACACACTAAAGCAGCTCCCTTTTTTCGTTCACCATGCGTGTCGTCTGTTCCAAAGGTTTGCTACTAACAAAACGACTATGAGAGGTCCCGCGAGCCCTAGCAAAGAGGACCTTATGCGAGCGAGCCTGCGCGATCCAACGAGGAGCGAGCATGCTACGCAAGTACGGGAGGACGCCACACACGGCAAAGCCAAAGCAGAGGCAAGCACAAACAAAACGAACAACATATCCAACAAACAAGGACGTCTAAGCACACGCCGGGCGGGGAACAAACACACCACCAACACCTGCCGCGTCGCGCATCGGACGCTCATCGATCACACACATGTTGGCGGGCAGAGCTGGTCGACAACGCGGCAACCCAACAATCAAGCCAAAGCAAACGCAACGTTCGATCGTACAGAATAACAGGAGAGAAAAAGAAGGGCTCTGTCTCAATCGGCGACACGCCGCTAACCCTGACCACCAAACTTGAGAAGGGCTTCCAAGTTCACAAGGCCTTTCCTCCACGACCAGAATGACCTACACATCGTACCACATTGCGAAAAGTGGGTATCCCTCGCGTTCGCATGGGCGGGGTGAGGGAAGGGGGAGGAGAGGCGACCAAAACACGAATTCTAACTTCCCTCGATCGCGCAACGCTGGCAGCAGAGACTATCATGTGTGTGAACAAGAGGCTACAACAGGACACAACAACAGGCACCTGCACATCGCGTCCTTCCAACCCCTCTTCCCAGTTGCTCCCATCCAAAGTTCTGACACGACCGACCAGGTCCGCGTTCGTTTTCGATTTTTTCCATGAGTTTCACACACACACACACACACCCGTGAAACAGGACACAAAAACGAAAGGTCGCCTGCTGGGCCTCGGACGCGAGCCTACACTCCTCTGCGTCGTGCAAAACACCACCGGCGCACTTGAACGACAGGTCCCACAGCATCCTATCCACCTGGATCCCTGTTGCGAGTTGAAACAATCCTTCCGACAGCACTGCTAACCAATTGTGGTAACCCAGCGCACCAATGGTGTCAGCCTAGACAGCTCAACGTAGCTGCAATGGACAACTAAGGTACAAGGCCATGAGGCTCAACAGTCACAGGAACATCCGGAAATCCGTCAGTTTCCAACATGATTTGTTCGCACAGCACGCCTTCCGCGGGGTACTACAGCAGAGGATCACATCCTTTGCGAGAGCAGAGAACTCGAGGCTGGGCTTCTCCTCAAGACATCCCAGACCAGGTGCGGAACCTCCCTCCTCCCCCCCCCCCCCCCCCCCATTTCGCCGGTTTAAAAAAGGAGAATTTTTAAATCTTGGCTTTATTTTTTGTCTTTTCCCCCCCCAAAAAGAAAAAAAAAAACAAAATTTGTGCTTGGTAAATCTCCAAAAAAACGCGGGCGGCCCCAAAAAAAAAAATTGCCCTCCCACCGCCGCCACCCCCAAACGAAAAACAGAGGGAAAGAACATCTGACCGTCTTTTTCCCTGGGTTGAAAAAAAAAAAAAAAAAGGGAAATCCCGGGTTTTTTTTAAACCCG